GTGGAGTGGAGCATCCCAGCTGAGCCTGGTTTTTGAGAATTCTCAAAACCCAACATGAACAGGGAATGGATGGAGTGGAGTGGAGCATCCCAGCTGAGCCTGGTTTTTGAGAATTCTCAAAAACCAACATGAACAGGGAATGGATGGAGTGGAGTGGAGCATCCCAGCTGAGCCTGGTTTTTGAGAATTCTCAAAAACCAACATGAACAGGGAATGGATGGAGTGGAGTGGAGCATCCCAGCTGAGCCTGGTTTTTGAGAATTCTCAAAAACCAACATGAATAGGGAATGGATGGAGTGGAGTGGAGCATCCCAGCTGAGCCTGGTTTTTGAGAATTCTCAAAAACCAACATGAACAGGGAATGGATGGAGTGGAGTGGAGCATCCCAGCTGAGCCTGGTTTTTTAGAATTCTCAAAAACCAACATGAACAGGGAATGGATGGAGTGGAGTGGAGCATCCCAGCTGAGCCTGGTTTTTGAGAATTCTCAAAAACCAACATGAACAGGGAATGGATGGAGTGGAGTGGAGCATCCCAGCTGAGTCTGGTTTTTGAGAATTCTCAAAAACCAACATGAACAGGGAATGGATGGAGTGGAGTGGAGCATCCCAGCTGAGCCTGGTTTTTGAGAATTCTCAAAAACCAACATGAACAGGGAATGGATGGAGTGGAGTGGAGCATCCCAGCTGAGCCTGGTTTTTGAGAATTCTCAAAAACCAACATGAACAGGGAATGGATGGAGTGGAGTGGAGCATCCCAGCTGAGCCTGGTTTTTGAGAATTCTCAAAAACCAACATGAACAGGGAATGGATGGAGTGGAGTGGAGCATCCCAGCTGAGCCTGGTTTTTGAGAATTCTCAAAAACCAACATGAACAGGGAATGGATGGAGTGGAGTGGAGCATCCCAGCTGAGCCTGGTTTTTGAGAATTCTCAAAAACCAACATGAACAGGGAATGGATGGAGTGGAGTGGAGCATCCCAGCTGAGCCTGGTTTTTGAGAACTCTCAAAAACCAACATGAACAGGGAATGGATGGAGTGGAGTGGAGCATCCCAGCTGAGCCTGGTTTTTGAGAATTCTCAAAAACCAACATGAACAGGGAATGGATGGAGTGGAGTGGAGCATCCCAGCTGAGCCTGGTTTTTGAGAATTCTCAAAAACCAACATGAACAGGGAATGGATGGAGTGGAGTGGAGCATCCCAGCTGAGCCTGGTTTTTGAGACTTCTCAAAAACCAACATGAACAGGGAATGGATGGAGTGGAGTGGAGCATCCCAGCTGAGCCTGGTTTTTGAGAATTCTCAAAAACCAACATGAACAGGGAATGGATGGAGTGGAGTGGAGCATCCCAGCTGAGCCTGGTTTTTGAGAATTCTCAAAAACCAACATGAACAGGGAATGGATGGAGTGGAGTGGAGCATCCCAGCTGAGCCTGGTTTTTGAGAATTCTCAAAAACCAACATGAACAGGGAATGGATGGAGTGGAGTGGAGCATCCCAGCTGAGCCTGGTTTTTGAGAATTCTCAAAAACCAACATGAACAGGGAATGGATGGAGTGGAGTGGAGCATCCCAACTGAGCCTGGTTTTTGAGAATTCTCAAAAACCAACATGAACAGGGAATGGATGGAGTGGAGTGGAGCATCCCAGCTGAGCCTGGTTTTTGAGAATTCTCAAAAACCAACATGAACAGGGAATGGATGGAGTGGAGTGGAGCATCCCAGCTGAGCCTGGTTTTTGAGAATTCTCAAAAACCAACATGAACAGGGAATGGATGGAGTGGAGTGGAGCATCCCAGCTGAGCCTGGTTTTTGAGAATTCTCAAAAACCAACATGAACAGGGAATGGATGGAGTGGAGTGGAGCATCCCAGCTGAGCCTGGTTTTTGAGACTTCTCAAAAACCAACATGAACAGGGAATGGATGGAGTGGAGTGGAGCATCCCAGCTGAGCCTGGTTTTTGAGAATTCTCAAAAACCAACATGAACAGGGAATGGATGGAGTGGAGTGGAGCATCCCAGCTGAGCCTGGTTTTTGAGAATTCTCAAAAACCAACATGAACAGGGAATGGATGGAGTGGAGTGGAGCATCCCAGCTGAGCCTGGTTTTTGAGAATTCTCAAAAACCAACATGAACAGGGAATGGATGGAGTGGAGTGGAGCATCCCAGCTGAGCCTGGTTTTTGAGAATTCTCAAAAACCAACATGAACAGGGAATGGATGGAGTGGAGTGGAGCATCCCAGCTGAGCCTGGTTTTTGAGAATTCTCAAAAACCAACATGAACAGGGAATGGATGGAGTGGAGTGGAGCATCCCAACTGAGCCTGGTTTTTGAGAATTCTCAAAAACCAACATGAACAGGGAATGGATGGAGTGGAGTGGAGCATCCCAGCTGAGCCTGGTTTTTGAGAATTCTCAAAAACCAACATGAACAGGGAATGGATGGAGTGGAGTGGAGCATCCCAGCTGAGCCTGGTTTTTGAGACTTCTCAAAAACCAACATGAACAGGGAATGGATGGAGTGGAGTGGAGCATCCCAGCTGAGCCTGGTTTTTGAGAATTCTCAAAAACCAACATGAACAGGGAATGGATGGAGTGGAGTGGAGCATCCCAGCTGAGCCTGGTTTTTGAGAATTCTCAAAAACCAACATGAACTGGGAATGGATGGAGTGGAGTGGAGCATCCCAGCTGAGCCTGGTTTTTGAGAATTCTCAAAAACCAACATGAACAGGGAATGGATGGAGTGGAGTGGAGCATCCCAGCTGAGCCTGGTTTTTGAGAATTCTCAAAAACCAACATGAACAGGGAATGGATGGAGTGGAGTGGAGCATCCCAGCTGAGCCTGGTTTTTGAGACTTCTCAAAAACCAACATGAACAGGGAATGGATGGAGTGGAGTGGAGCATCCCAGCTGAGCCTGGTTTTTGAGAATTCTCAAAAACCAACATGAACAGGGAATGGATGGAGTGGAGTGGAGCATCCCAGCTGAGCCTGGTTTTTGAGAATTCTCAAAAACCAACATGAACAGGGAATGGATGGAGTGGAGTGGAGCATCCCAGCTGAGCCTGGTTTTTGAGAATTCTCAAAAACCAACATGAACAGGGAATGGATGGAGTGGAGTGGAGCATCCCAGCTGAGCCTGGTTTTTGAGAATTCTCAAAAACCAACATGAACAGGGAATGGATGGAGTGGAGTGGAGCATCCCAGCTGAGCCTGGTTTTTGAGAATTCTCAAAAACCAACATGAACAGGGAATGGATGGAGTGGAGTGGAGCATCCCAGCTGAGCCTGGTTTTTGAGAATTCTCAAAAACCAACATGAACAGGGAATGGATGGAGTGGAGTGGAGCATCCCAGCTGAGCCTGGTTTTTGAGAATTCTCAAAAACCAACATGAACAGGGAATGGATGGAGTGGAGTGGAGCATCCCAGCTGAGCCTGGTTTTTGAGACTTCTCAAAAACCAACATGAACAGGGAATGGATGGAGTGGAGTGGAGCATCCCAGCTGAGCCTGGTTTTTGAGACTTCTCAAAAACCAACATGAACAGGGAATGGATGGAGTGGAGTGGAGCATCCCAGCTGAGCCTGGTTTTTGAGAATTCTCAAAAACCAACATGAACAGGGAATGGATGGAGTGGAGTGGAGCATCCCAGCTGAGCCTGGTTTTTGAGAATTCTCAAAAACCAACATGAACAGGGAATGGATGGAGTGGAGTGGAGCATCCCAGCTGAGCCTGGTTTTTGAGAATTCTCAAAAACCAACATGAACAGGGAATGGATGGAGTGGAGTGGAGCATCCCAGCTGAGCCTGGTTTTTGAGAATTCTCAAAAACCAACATGAACAGGGAATGGATGGAGTGGAGTGGAGCATCCCAGCTGAGCCTGGTTTTTGAGAATTCTCAAAAACCAACATGAACAGGGAATGGATGGAGTGGAGTGGAGCATCCCAGCTGAGCCTGGTTTTTGAGAATTCTCAAAAACCAACATGAACAGGGAATGGATGGAGTGGAGTGGAGCATCCCAGCTGAGCCTGGTTTTTGAGAATTCTCAAAAACCAACATGAACAGGGAATGGATGGAGTGGAGTGGAGCATCCCAGCTGAGCCTGGTTTTTGAGAATTCTCAAAAACCAACATGAACAGGGAATGGATGGAGTGGAGTGGAGCATCCCAGCTGAGCCTGGTTTTTGAGAATTCTCAAAAACCAACATGAACAGGGAATGGATGGAGTGGAGTGGAGCATCCCAGCTGAGCCTGGTTTTTGAGAATTCTCAAAAACCAACATGAACAGGGAATGGATGGAGTGGAGTGGAGCATCCCAGCTGAGCCTGGTTTTTGAGAATTCTCAAAAACCAACATGAACAGGGAATGGATGGAGTGGAGTGGAGCATCCCAGCTGAGCCTGGTTTTTGAGAATTCTCAAAAACCAACATGAACAGGGAATGGATGGAGTGGAGTGGAGCATCCCAGCTGAGCCTGGTTTTTGAGAATTCTCAAAAACCAACATGAACAGGGAATGGATGGAGTGGAGTGGAGCATCCCAGCTGAGCCTGGTTTTTGAGAATTCTCAAAAACCAACATGAACAGGGAATGGATGGAGTGGAGTGGAGCATCCCAGCTGAGCCTGGTTTTTGAGAATTCTCAAAAACCAACATGAACAGGGAATGGATGGAGTGGAGTGGAGCATCCCAGCTGAGCCTGGTTTTTGAGAATTCTCAAAAACCAACATGAACAGGGAATGGATGGAGTGGAGTGGAGCATCCCAGCTGAGCCTGGTTTTTGAGAATTCTCAAAAACCAACATGAACAGGGAATGGATGGAGTGGAGTGGAGCATCCCAGCTGAGCCTGGTTTTTGAGAATTCTC